TAACTTACGTTGAGGGATACTTAATTAATGTATCTTTGCTATAATTCTTAACTAATTTCATGAAAAAATAAAAAATAAAAATTTATAATTTTGATTTTATCCTGGTTATTGTTTTTTTTTTTTTTTTTTATCAAGCGTTCGTAGGTTACGAAATACTTACCGCTTCCTACTTTGTAAAACAAAATTGTAAATATATTTTGCTGGTTAAATTACAGCCTTTTGGCAGTTATTATCAGAGTAAGAGGAATATTGAGGTAGAGTTACTTTGAGGACTTGAAGTAACAAAATTATCCGGGATAAAACTGGATTACTGTAAAATTTGCAATTGAAGCTGTAATTTGGTCTTTATCTATCATTTTGGTCTGCTTATCCTCTCTGAGTTCGTCCGTGAAACACGTTTCGACATTTCTTGAGTGTTAGGTGTGCGTGATTTCTATGAAGTGAGGCTTTCTTTTATAAAGTGGTGAGGATGGTGGGCGGGACTGTGTCGGACTCCATGATGGAATAAGTAAGTTTTTTCTGATTGCTTCAGTGATTCGTCCGTCCTTTTTATTTTTATGTATACATGACGCAAACTGTTGTCAATTTGTATATTCGTGAGATTTGCGAGTTTGTTTAGTGTTTGATGAGTTAGGTTTGCATATATCCAAAATTTCAAGAATTTTTTCGCTTTTTCCATGCGTTATGTCTTTATGCTTTTCCGATTAATTTTCCATCATTGTCCCTAAACGACCATACATGTTCTTTACATCTGTCTTTTATTTTTGCCCTGTTTATCCGATGTATTTGTCTCCGCCATCACAAACCGCCTTGATTAACCGTATACAGGGTGATCTTTTAAGTAGGGGACCTGACTAAATTTCACTTGAATAGTTAAGGTTATCTAAAAACTGTACGACACGAAAAACAAAACTTACGTATTTAATATTTTTTAGTCTAGTTTTAAATTTTTAGCCCTTTTTAAATATTACTTGTCAGAATACACCAGAGCAGTACAATTTTCAAATTTTAAATGAAAACGTTTACTTTTTACGAACTGTTTTAAAGGATCGTTCACACATAAAATGACGGCGCTATCAGATTTAAAATTGATCAAAAAATAAGAAAGTTAGCGTACAGAATATCAAAAGAAATTTTCTTTTTTTTTGGGGGGGGGGGTTATGTTATCCTATTACCCATGACGTCTCAAACTAGCTAACATGATCAGCGAAGAAATATCTTGAAATAGTATTTATTATTACATATTATTATGTATTTTCATTTACTCTTTTGGTGCTGTGTTGATGGGTCTGCTATCAGTGGGTACACACATTTTTATTTAATAAACGGCTGTACTTAAAAAAAAACGGAAATTTACGTGTTTCAAACATGTCTTGTTACAGTTTGTTATTCGAAACGTGTCGATACCTTTTTGAAAAATGTACCCTTTTTTAACTAAAAACGTGCCTACCTACTGATAATAGACCCATAATCATCTTTCCAAGAAATTCATAAGTTTATTTATTTATTTTTTACGAGGGTTGGCAACAGCAGATCGTATCAACCCTCGAGGTGCCGGTGTTTTTTGCAAAAAAAGCCCATTTGTAAGTATGTCAGGCAAGAATGCTCGAACTATGCCGCTGGATTCGAACCCGAGACCTTTACCTTACAGTGACGAGTGCCTTGTCAACGCCTAAACCGTTGACACCCCCTTGAAATTTATCAGTATTTTAGATAATGTTTTTCTTTTGTTATGTCAATGATTGTCTTGTTATTGTTTGAACAACTGATCTTATTGAATTTAGACAACAAGAAAAGCATTAAGGCTAAATTCCAACTATTATTTACGCTAAGTTTTTATGAGTCAAACAAAATGATCGAAAGGGTGCGTTTTTCTCGTCGAGATCGTGTTAATATATACTATACTATCAAAGAGAGTGGCGGAATATATGTACATATAAAGATAACTTGTTAGAGAGAAACAGAGAGAAAGAAAGAATGAAAAAAGAAAGAAAGCGAGAGAAAGAGGAATGACCAGTGGTGCGACTACGTTTAACTTATGTTGAGCATACTCAATTAACGTATCTTTGCTATAATTATTAACTAATTTCATGAAAAAAAAATTTATAATTTTGATTTTATCTTGGTGATTGTTTTATATCAAGTGTTCGTAGGATTCGAAATACTTACCACTTCCTACTTTGTAAAACAAAATCGTAAAAATATTTTGGTGGTTAAATTACACCCTTTAGGCAGTTATTATCAGAGCAAGAGGAATATTGAGGTAGAGTTACTTTGAGGACTTAAAGTAACAAAATTATCCGGAATAAAACGGATCTAAACGTATTTGAAACGTAAAACATGGAATTAGTGCCATTCCAATTACTTAAAATTTATTCATAATTGGATTTTGGATTTATATAGGCTCAAATCTGCACATATATGCTCATGCACACACACACACACACACACACACACACACACGGACATAGTAGAGCCATTACTTCTCGCAGTCTACCGGCAAAACTATAGAATTACCCACTCCAGTTGTTGGTATTCCGTGGTCAGACTCGGTTTATTCGTCCAGCCAACGCGTTTCGGGTCCAGGGTGAACAGCTAGGTTATTTCATCTTCCAACCCAATCAGTTTCTAATGCCAGTCACATTCTCCCTCACTATTAAATACATTCTTATTTCTTTACATGCCATTCACTCAGCGAGGGTGTTGGAATAGTCCATATTCCTCCAGCATCTTTTTTATGTATTGTAAAACTAACTTAATTGAAGGTCGATTGGGTACTCAATATTCCGCCATGGCCATTCGTACTAAATAATACATTCAATTTCAAAGTATGCAACGGACTCTAAACTATCAGTACGACATATTGTACAATAAAACAACCCTGTTTCTTCCAAGAATCGAAACAGGGATCCAGCTACTCGCTGCCGTGCTCAAGTACAATTCTTATTTTGGTTGACAACGCGCTCTCTATATGGAACCAAAGATATGCGCTCCTCAGTCTGGTTATATACATCGAGCAACCTTTCTGTTCAGTCGGATATTTGCTCATTATTTTCCGGGGGGCCTAGCCTCAATTCCATTTTGCTGTCATATCCTTATTTACTTATGCTTTCTTAGTAAACCATGCCTCTTAGGAGAAATATTTTAAATAAATTTAAACAAAAATTATTTAGTTGACTTAATTTAGCTTGGGAATTTCTTCAAATTTTTTTTTCAACGGTCCTGTGGAACGTTTAAACTGTTCAACAAAGTTTGAACGTTCAACCGAGGAAATATTTGAAACCTAGCTACGAAGTACGCACATTATGAAACTAGGTTGAATTCGTTTCATGTCTCAAAGGACATCAACTGTTTTTCATCAGCCAGATGAAAATAATGAAAAGATAAAATAATCTTTAAACTTTCACCGTTGAAAATAAATTATGAGCTATGATAAGAAACTGGATTTATTATTAATCTAGGCCATATCGCACACCCACAAGAAAATTGACACAACCCAACAAAGAGAATATTTTCCAGGAGAGATAGATGGAAGTTTACTTTTTGTTTATGTATTAACTACTCGTCATTACAGTTGCTGGCTGGAAAGACTGTCTTGATGCATCTATACCGATTTCGACCAAGGCTTAAGAGAAAATACAAAAGTTTTAAAATTCCAGCTGTACTACCCATATAAACTACTTCTTTTTTAGTTGTGTCGCTTTTCTTGCATATATTGCCTTTCGCTATTTAAGTTAGATCGTTTGCTCTAACAATAATACTGACCAATGAATGACTATAATCGTATAAACTTGATAGTAACATACAAACCTAAAAAACGAGCATAAATATCCATGTAGTAAGTTTTAGTAAGATTATTTTTGACTCAAATGGGCTTTCCTCCCGCAGTCAGGGCTAATTAGTTATTTAAAATGAAAAATTAATTATTGAATTAAAGGTTTTATTGCTTATTAAAAATAATGTAGTTAAAAAATTAAAAAAATCGGTGAGGCTATAAAATAATGTAAAAGTTAAAAGATAATAATGTTAAAAAAGTAATAAAAAACGATATTATAATTAAGAATATTACTAAATTTAATTTAATGCAATTTTGCAATGAATGTTTGCAACTACTACTTGTGTCAACGACGGGCATCTATTTTGTGCTAAACTGCTAAAACCAATCTCCCCTATTGAAAATTCATCAGCAATCACAGAGGGAGCACTCACATTCAAATGTTTATTACTTTCATTTAGTTGAGTATTTAACACTTTGACGGATTCATCCGCCTGATGGTCGGTTTGCACAACGTTATTTCACTACTTTTTGATCGGCAATGTATAGAAAATTGGTTTTCCTTCTTACATTTATTACACTTCTTTCTCCATGCAGGGCACTGATTTTGTTCATGTTAGAATTCACATCTTGAACAATTGCCTTGTTTTCTATTTCCATTCGCATACTGTTTTCTGTAATCTGTTCAAAATTTTTGACGCAATTCTCCTATCTCATAATTTGGTTCTGGCTGTGCCTTATTCCGTAGATTCGCTCTTTGTTCTAAAAATGCAAATAACTCAGTGATCTTAGCTATTGTGATAATGATTATCCGCTATATCCCTGGTTTTAGTATCCAATTTCGACTGGAGTATATAAATCAATATAGGGTTCCACTCCTTTGTAGGAACATTGCATGCGTCCAATGAATGGAGAGATGAACGAGTTGTCGTTACTAAGTTTCTTAAAGTGTTCTGATCATTGGGTACACAGTCCCTAAAGCTGGGTACACATTTACCCGATGCAACGCTATGCGACGATACCTATGCTTCCCGATGCAAATCCAAAGTACAATTTTCCGTAAGACTGTATTACCCCTGTGACCATCAAAAATTAAATAATCCGGTTTTTAGAATTTTTCTACTTGTCATTTTTCTTGGGGTGCGCGATATTAGCAATGAATTATTTACAATTAATAAAAGTTAAGTCTAATTAAATATAATATTATTATTTAAAATTGTCTTAC